ATCCCCCGGTGAGGGAGAAGCGAGCCCCCGTCCCTCCCGCTCCCTAAGGCACGGGCCAGCCACGGGCTCCTCCGCGCCCCATCCTCGAGGTAGGGCTCAGTCCGTCCACAAAGCACAAAGGAATAGCGGTGCACTCAGGTCAATGTAAAACCATTTTTTTAATTCTAAATCACTTTCACAACAGTGAAAATTAGTGAACAGCAATGGTAGTGCACTAAACAAGCCGTTATGGGCTGTGTGCAGTCTGAGTACAGGGTGGGGGGAAGTGGTACGATACAAAAAGCACACCAAGAAAAAGGTAGGAACAAAAGCGTTAACACTTTTAGACTATTTCATTCTTAGATTGCCAGAAAATAAGGACTCCCAGTCATGTTTCTGCAGCCACCTCCATCTAAATCCATTATGTGTCTCACCAACAGATGGAAAAAACCCCAAGCCATTAAAATTCTGTATTTTAAAACATAAGCGTTAGTTAAATCAGCTTCAGTACCCCTCGAAGCTAATACAGTCACTTTTCTGTCCTCTTTATCGGAAAAAAGCTTTAAAGGGATGCCCTACTCCTCCCTGGATAACCTCTGCTCTTAGCAGCGAGTTTCTCAATACCAAGAGAAGGAAAACCATCCCTTCTACTACCACATGAACTTCCCCTTTTCATCAGCAGGTGGTGCTGCCTGCCCATGAAAGGAAGTCAAAGCCGCGACGTTGTACCACAGCCAAGTTGCTTACAAGGAGGCAATAAACGGCCTTTCTCTTAGAAAGGGTCCTAGTTACCAAGTTATGCACTCGAGAAGAACCATATGCAGAAGTTAAGCTTCTCAGAAGTGCCACACAACAAAAGTCGAAGCACCACTTCAACTATTTATAGTTGAGTAATACATTCTGCCAGATCTTCACAAGAGTCAGGTATAAATTTGACTAGATGAGGCAAAGCGCTGCAGAAGCTTTGCAACATCCTACTTGCCAGATGGAATTTTGGAGGTAGGCAAGTTAAACTTGTCATCCTCTCTCTTGATACTAAGAGTGAACAGTTTATAATTACATAAATAAGCTTCTACAACAATTAAGGTGTCCTGCCCAGGAACCTCATCCATACACTAGAAAACCCCTACCTATTGAAACAAAGTTTCTATGAGTTGATTTTTGTCAGTTGTCTGTCTATTGCCAGAGAAGTCACAATATTCATCTTGCAGGAAATCATTATGACTATCAGCAGTCTGAATCAAAATAATCTAAAAACAGTAAGAGGAAAAAAATTGAATTCCCTACTCGGAGAAATAGGAAAACATCTTGCTAGGGCATCTCTCGTATCTGCTGTTCTGAAGAAATCTACACGAATACATCAGGAGTACTCTTTAAAGCTGTATAGCCAACAGGATTCCAAAATGGCTACAGAATGCTCACCTGAAATATTTTCCCCTCAGCACATAAACTGTTGTGGTCTCCTCCAGCACTTCAAATCAACATCTTTGGTAGATAAGGCAGAGGCTCTTGCACTGTAGCCATTCTGCTGTGGCACGGAGTAGCTGTATGCACCTGTAGAGAGAAGCTCTTCCAAACGTTCCCTGCTGTAGCATGTGCAGGACCTCATTTTTCCTCCTGTATGATTTTACAGTATGACAAGTTTAACCTCATATCTCATGTAAAGATGCCTTTTGTTCCTTTCCTCAAACAAGCTGATCTCAGATCTGTAATAGCATTTTATTTGGAGTACATGACCTTACGTTGAAAGTCTCAGAGCCTTGGGAAGAGTAAATGTAGCTACAGTGACAAGGTTGTGAGGGGATTATCCATGAGTGCAGCCACAGGCTGCTGCACAGAACCAAGGAAGACAACACTGTTTTGTCAGTGAGGAACTGGGCTGGGTGAGGCAGACAGGTACGTCGTACTGTTCAGCAACCCCACCCGGCTCCACAACGAGAGAATCTTCCAGTGTCTGGCTCCAGCAAATTCAGGCTTTAAAAAATTGCAGCATAAATTCTATCCCTTCTTCTAACAGCCATTAGAACTGCTTCAGGAAGGGTTTTCCATCATGCCGGGAAATGACAGCAGACAAGAAACCAGTCTCCAATCCTGGCTCCATTTGCATCACATGCTGCGCCCAAAGAGTCTCAGCGGTGCTGCAGACAATTTCCTGAAGAAGGCTGGATGTTGATGTGAAGACAATAACTAACATCCGCAGCTCTGGCAGTTCCATCGTGGTTGCCAAGCATGAGATACTGACCACGCTGCAGAAGTTTCCTTACCTGCCCAGTCTACCGTGGGGCAACTGTCTTTCACATAAACCTGGTGTCACCGATTGGCACAGGATTTCAAAGCAGCACTCCTTTTAGGAGCAGAGCTCAAAGCCAGACCCGTGGTTTGTGGCAGAAACCTGTTCTACAAGATAGCTGAGCTGAAATATGCTTTTTAACCAATGTTTAATTTCCAAGTCTGGTGCAAAATGCGAGATTCCTCATTGTGCTGTGGTACTGCCAATTCCTGAAGCCCCCAGTTAGCTACGGAACCAGACACCAAGAGGTTTAAAGTGGGATGGGGATGCAGTTTGTAACTGTTTCAGTGGCCTTGTGGGCCATGGATATACAGAATGAAAAGATTTATGCAATCAGCAGCCAGAACATTATCACCAGAGCCACAAACAGGAAGAGGCGGGATAGGAACTGCTCATCCACATACTGAGGAGTCCCTGGAACAGCTGGAAAACAGGAAGTAAAAAAACCAGGTCAGCTCCTTCCTCTTCTCCAGAATCATGTATACTCTGAATACAGTACATTCATAAATTGAAAGATAAGCAAGGAATATACCTGCTGAGAAACTGTTGCTATTTCCTACCCTCAGACTGGCCAGCCATACTGGAAGATCAGAAGGAAGACAAGCATCAGCTCCCCGAAGCAGGACTCGTGGTAAACCTGCTCATGACTAATAGCAGCAGGCAGCTCCAAGTGCTAGAGTACAGGTGGGTCTGCTCAGAGTACTTCCGGGGACAGTGCTGAGCTAAGTTCACTGTTGAGCGCTGAGCTAAGTTCAGCATTTCCATCCTAAGGAACGTTACCACCTCTACCTGAGCGCTCTTCCCCATCAAGGTGAAATATTTCTGAATAAGGAAATGGTAAAACGGTCAAAGCTGCGCATGTAGCCTTGACCAAAAGAACTAAGGAAAAGCACACTTCCTGGAACTGCTGTATTGAATGCACAGATGAAAAGCAGATAAAGGAGTTGGTTAAATTATGGCTGTTACAACAGCGTATGTTTACATACTCCATAGCTCAGTCACACCTCCACACAAATTTTCAGTGGACACTGAAATACAGTTAATGGGTGAGTTAATTTGACCCAAGCACAGCACAGGTCCTTGGCAACACAGGTGTGACGTGAAGAATGTGTTTCTGTTTCTCATACTTCCTATGCCACATGACATAGGGAAGAAGATTTGCCAGGCACAACCGTTCACAGAGGAAGACCAGAAAATCCCAGGCAGTAGGTTTTCTTGTTCAAAACAGGTAGACTCAGTTTGTCTACAGTGCAGATGGGAAGGAGGTTTTATGGGGGTTACTTAATTTTTAAAGAGTGAGGCCACTACTTGGAGTAACCCAACTGTTTTTTCTTAATTAAAACCAGTGAAATTATTTCACCAGAAAGTTACTTCTGTAGAATACAGATGACTGTCTCGGAGATAAATTTCTGAAAAAGGAAGAGTCTTTGCTGTTATTATTTTGTGGTACAGAGCACCAGTTGAAACTTCTCCTTCTCATCTTTCAGGAGATGGTCCTTTCCTGCTGTTTTCAAAATATGGGTCTCCTTCATACACCCCTACTCACTCCTTTCTAGTATTATTAGAAACTCTAGTCCAACTTGTCTCGTTTTCCAGAGGGAGCCCGCTGGAGTACCAGAGGAGACATTTGAATTAAAGGGGGAAAGTCTCCAGTGCCACTGTCCCTCTCCAGTTCTAATGTCCTCTCAACAGGGCCTTTAGCAAATCACACGGAAGCAACAACTGGCTTCTTACATAAGCACTCGTACAAAACCTGTAGAGACATAGGCTATGTTCTCTACTGGGTGTTTTCCTTCATTTTGTGTTTCTACATACAACACTGATCTACTTTACCATTCAGAAAGTTAGCAGGCTATTTGTTTAAAAGTTACAAGGGAGTTTGTGAAACACCTGTTTGTGACAGGACTCTGGGAGAAGATAGGATGCATGGTACCTGGAGGAGGTCGTCCGTCATTTATGTTGAATGCTGTTGCAAATATACCAAAGGGAAACGCCCCAATTCCGAACGACATTTGGAAGCCACCATCGCCAAACCCAAAGCCCTGGAATCCCTGCAGAGATCAAAGCAGTGGAAGAGAAAAAAGGTACCAATCATTTAAAGCCCATTTCAGAATATTTTGTAAAAGTGCAGACATTCCCTCTCACCGGCTTTCCTACAGCTGAAGGAGTATCATGCTGTCTGGCAAATTCCAGTCTGCCACACTACTGTTAAATACCTTCTCAGTTCTCCTGGTTTTGGAATGTTTCACATGGTAGCGAACTTGCCAGAGCAACCCAAAAGTTTGAGAAAATGAAAACTAGGAACAACAGTTCATGCTCAAAGGCCACAAATTTACAAAAGCATTTCTGTAACGTTTCTCAACTTAAAATAGCATATGTCTGACCATATATAAAAATCAACATTACCAATTTATTTAGAATGTCTTAAAAATATATTAATAATTCTGTATTAATAGCTACTAGTCATGTAACTACAAGAAAGGCATTTTAAAAAAAAATAATCTGCATTGATTTTTGTGATACATGTGCATCATTTAAACATTCAGTAAAGTGATAAATTGCCAGTGGGATGCATAGAGCATTATAGAGAAGAACAGTACCAAAAAAAAAAAATTTACCAGGGGAACTCTAATTAAG